TGGGCCATATGAAGGAATTACCGGTTGACAAATTAGCAGCTTGTTATCTACCTCATCATGGAGTTTTTAAAAACAACAAGTTGCGAGTAGTTTTTAATGGATCAGCTTCTTGTAATTCTAGTTCCTCGCTCAATTCCATTTTACACTCTGGACAGAATTTTTTGCTTAGCTTATTTGATATTATTATCAGATGGAGATTTTACCAATTCGTCTTTACTACTGACATTGAGAAAATGTTCCGACAAGTTTTGTTAGCTCCTAAAGATCATGAGTTTCAGGCCATTATATGGAGACCTAATGCATCTGTACCTATTCGATCTTACGTCTTAAACACTGTTATATATGGTTTGACAAGCTCACCTTACTTGGCCACACGTGTTTTAAGACAACTTGCCAAGGATTACACTGAATCTCATCCTATAGCTGCTCAAGTTCTTTGTAAAGTTTTCTATGTGGATGATTGTTTGTCTGGTAGCTATACGTTAGAAGATGCTAAGATTAAATGTCAGCAACTAATTGAATTGTGTGAATTAGGTCAATTTCTACTGAGAAAATAGTCAGCCAATTCATCTGAGTTTATAGCTGAGTTACCAGTAAGCCTCTTATTTAGTAAGCCAAAGATCCTAAGTGATGATGAACCAATTGTTTCTGTTTCAGGCTTGTATTGGAATCCTAGTAGTGAGGAGTTTTGATTTTGCGTTACAGTAAATGTTGATACACCCGTTCGCTGGACCAAACGTACTTTATTAGCGCAGTTGTCAAAATTTTTTGACCCTTTAGGATGGTTGGCTCCAACAATAATTTTTGCTAAAATACTATTTTAATCTCTTTGTTTGTTGTACGTTTGGGATGATTCTCTGTCATATGATTTGATTAAAACCTGGACTCATTGGTTAAATGAAACACCTTTGTTGAACGAAGTTCGAATACCTAGATGGAATCATTTTTCGCTAGATTGTGAATCTCTCGAACTTCATGGTTTTGCCGACGCTTCTAAAAATGCCTATGCAGCGGCTGTTTATTTACGCGTTGTACGCGAGGGTGAAATTTTTGTACATCTTCAATTAGCCAAAACGAAAGTAGCTCTGATTAAAGCGCTAAGTATTTCAAGACTAGAGCTATGTGCTGCAGAATTGTTATCCACAGTAGTTAGTCATTTCGTTGATGTTAATTCATTGAAAGAAATACCAGTTCACATGTGGTCCGATTCTAGGAATGTACTATATTGGCTCAATGGACTTCCTTCCAAATGGCCAGTTTTCATAGCTAATAGGTGTTCAAAGATTCATGAATTGACTCCATATGCTAAGTGGCATTATATCACGTCAAAGCAAAATCCAGCTGATGTAGCTTCTAGAGGTGTTCTTCCGGGCCAATTGCTGAATCAAATATTATGGTTTCAGGGCCCTAAGATTCTTCATGAATTGCACCCTAACTATCCAGAGTTTGGAGTAGAAATGATTGCCCCAACCTCTATAAATGTAAATAGTTCAATGCCTTCTGTAAATAGTCTTGTAAATAGTTCTGAGTCTTTTTATGTGACTCTATTAACTCGTTGTTCCAAGTGGGAACGGTTGCTAAGAGTAACAGCATATTGCCTTCGTTTTACATACCGTTGTTTACATAAAGTTAAACAAAAGAATTCATATTTACCTATAGCTGGAAATCTTAAGCCCCCTTTACAGGCTAGTTTGCAGTTTATTGACTTGTATTCTTTTATTAAAGTTGACTCGATTCACCTTTCAACATCAGAAATTGATTGTGCTAGACTGTGTCTAGTGTATCAGCATCAACAATGTCACTTTTCCGCTGAGTTCAAGGTACTAACTCAAAATCAAGATCGTAGTTTAGAAGATAGCTTACCACTACTTCGATCTAGCCGTTTGCTTAATCTTACGCCGTTTATAAACTGCGGATTGATAAGAGTTGGGGGTAGATTGAGTAGAGCCCTACTTGATGATGATGCTAAACATCCCTTGATACTAACAGATAAAGATCAGTTGACATTTATGCTTATTGACTATTATCACCGATTAACTTTACATGGTGGAGTGCAGTTGACGATTATTACACTCCGTCAAACGTACTGGATTGTAAATGGTAGACGGACTGTAAGAGCTGAGCTTACTCATTGCATCACTTGTAAAAGATATAAGTCTAAACCACAAATTCAGTTAATGGGAGACTTGCCTTGTTCTCGTGTTACTCAGAGTCGTCCTTTTCAGAAATCAGGGATCGATTATGCTGGCCCCTTTCCAATACATTTGTCAAAACACAAGGATAAAGGAACTTTCAAGGGTTACATTGCAGTTTTCATCTGCATGTCAACTCGTGCAGTACATCTTGAAGTTGTGGAGGATTATACAAAGGAGGCATTTATAGCTGCCGTTTAGATTTATTTCTAGACGTGGCCACTGCACTGATTTATTCAGTGATCATGGCACGAATTTCATCGGTGCTAATACTGAGTTGAAAAGAATACTGGTAGAACGTAGTCGTGACCTTAATTTTGCCTATGAATTAGGTAAATCAGGTACACAGTGGCACTTTATTACTGCTTCTGCTCCACATTTCAGGGGCTTATGGGAATCAGCAGTCAGATCCGCTAAACATCATTTGAAGCGTGTAGTCGGCGATCAGATTTTGCCAGTAGTTGAATTTTCTACTTTATTGTGTAGAATAGAGGCATGCCTCAACTCTCGGCCCTTGGCTCGCCTTAATGATGATTCCTCTGAGCTTGATCCTCTTACCCCTGCTCATTTTTTGATCATGAGGTCTTCGTTTCTAGTGCCAGAGCCCGATATTTCTACTGAAAAGGTATCGCCACTTAAACGCTGGAAGCTAGTGACACAATCTCTCCAAGTCTTCTGGAAAAGGTGGTCACTTGAATACCTTTCTACTTTACAAAGTCGTTGCAAGTGGTTGAATCCTCAACGCTCGGTTAAGCCTGGTGATCTCGTGCTCATAAAAAACGAGTCTTCTCCACCTGGTAAATGGCCTTTAGGCATGGTTGTTGAAGTCTATAAGGATGCCAAGTCTCTCGTCAGAGTCGCCAAGATTAGAACCGTTTCATCTAGTTTTGTAAGGCCAATACACAAACTAATATTATTGCGTACCGGATCTGAGCTTGAGTCAGGACACAATAATAATTAGTCTTATTTAGATCAACTTTTTTTCTTTCATTTACTATTATGATTATTAAATCTCATATCTAAAAGTCATAAACGTTGCGAAAATATATATAAAATTATCAGTAATTTGTTTATTATGTTTTTTTTTATTTTTGAATTATTTGCTATTGTACGTGGAAAGCGTTTCACTGCTTTATTCACACGGTACTTAGTTGTATTCTATTTCTTTTGATGCACATTTGTTACACTTCTGTCTATCAACCTTGGGACTATGTGCAACATCAGTAACATTGTACTGATGTAAATAGAAAATTTAGTTAATGAGATTTGAAATCTCGCGCTTTAGGATATTCTCTTACCTACAAGGGTCAATCATAAGCGTGCGCGCGTCTATTAATACACCAATAGACTCTGTTATACTTANTACTATTATGATTATTAAATCTCATATCTAAAAGTCATAAACCTTGCAAAAATATATATAAAATTATCAGTAATTTGTTTATTATGCTTTTTTTATTTTATTTTTCGAATTATTTGCTATTGTACGTGGAAAGCGTTCCACTGCTTTATTTACATGGTACTTAATTGTATATTATCCATCCGCCTGTCCATCAACCTTAGGACTATGTAAAACATCAGTATTACTGATTGTTACCGGCTGAATGTCATTATATTAAAAAAAACTTTCATTATTTGGAATTTTTGTAAGTGGAATGCGATCCACCCTTTTGTCCTTCTAAGACTTGTTATTGATATACATTTGTTACACTTCTGTCTATCAACCTTGGGACTATGTGCAACATCAGTAACATTGTACTGATGTAAATAGAAAATTTAGTTTATGAGATTTGAAATCTCGCGCTTTAGGATATTCTCTTACCTATAAGGGCCAATCATAAGCGTGCGCGCGTCTATTAATACACCAATAGACTCTGTTTATACTTACCTTTGTCCAGCAGCTTGCTGCTGCTGCGGTTATCGTTAGTCAGCCTCAAACGCCCTTTTCGGTAAGTCGCTTTGCGCTCGTGTTTATAATTTTCACGTGTATCGTTTTTATGTAAGATTTCTGTAACTAAAACGATTCACATTTTCGATTGACACGTAATTTCTCCGTCTGACTTAAAAATTAGTTCTTCCTTTTTTTATCTTGCAAGTAAGCAAGTATTATGACTTGTTAAAGTAAAATTAAATAGAGAGATTGTTTTTTTTATATAATAAACGGCTAAAGTGTTTAAAAGTGTGTTGTGCATTTATTATTGTGTCCTTTTTATTTACATCCTTTTTCACGCTCCCCCAAATCCAGCGTGCGATATAAAAGTTATACAGTCCACTATCTTACTGAGTTCAATTTCGAACACCTATCTACCATTGGTTCATCCAAGCTATTTGTTACTTCATATTTTATTGATATTAACTACTTTAAATCTGCAATTAAATCATAGAGCAATTTGAAGCGCTCTAAGAGCAGTTTTTTCTAATAAAAATTTCTTTTAAATATTGATTATTAGCTTTATAATGACTCGCGAAGTATTGCCTGTTACCGGGCACTTTAATTTGCATTAATTAAATAAATAGAAAGGAGCAGTTTTTACTAATTGCATTTCTAAAAAGAGCAGTTTTTAATACGTCGATTCCATTAATTTGTTTATTGAATATTTAATTTTTCTCGGGCTAGGGTGGCGTTGGTGTGTCCCGTTTCCCGTTGTCCCGTAATGTAATGGATTACTATATATATTCTCTGATGCCATGGCAGTCATGGCACCTGTTTCTGTTATAATTACTGAACAGGTAAGGTTGAGGCTAGAATGCTATAGATTCTTGTATACTTACCGTTCACGGTTCACCTGACACAGTGACACCCCGTCTTATACCTTCAGTGTAGGTCCTCGTGAGGTTGCCTGCACAGACTCTTAAGGGACCTCAGGGAACCTCAATAGATTTCTGATCGGGAGAGGCTGCGCTCATGCTCACGTTGCGTATGCACCGCACGACCATTGTACTTACCGCAGCGTTTCTGCGTTTCAGCGTTTGCAGAGCCAGTGTGTGTCCAGATTACAGATTCAGATCTAGTCTGGTGCAGTGCGTCCTGACTTTGTCCAACAGACTCGGGCGTCCTGGCAGGACCAACTGATTTTTATATTTTTATTAACACGAGGTCACAAGCATTTAAGCTGCATCCTACAACACAACCAGAAGTCTAACAATGACCGACGAGTCGAACGGCGAGTCTAGCTTCGAGTTCGTCGACAAGAAGCTGGAGGACTGCGGTAAGGTTTTATTTCCACTTATGAGTCTTAATTATTCAATTTTCTCAATGTACCTACTGATACACAACTCTCGTATATCCCCCAATTTTTTAAAAATAACCTGTAATTCATATACCTAAACAAAGAGTATGATCAATCGCCAATGCTAATCAGCGCCAGGTGTGTTTTTATTATTTACCTTACTGCAAGTACTTGTAATATTGAAGATTTCGTTATTTCAGGCTTTACAGCTTCTCAAATGTGCAGATCTTGCATATGAGTTGACATTGCATTTATATATATTTTCAGATGCCTCAAATGCAACGGCACCTGGGCCAGTACTATCTGCACCAGCTAGCACAGGCAATTTGTTGTCCAACGTTGCACCACCAAGCGCACTTCCTACCTTTGTAACGAGTTCAGCACAAAATGTGCCATCTACTACACCAGAGGCAGTCAAGCCACCGAGTCTACAGTTACCCCAAGGTGTCCAGACAGCAGAGCCAAAGGCCGTAGACTCTCCTACAGACAAGGGACCAGTGGTGTTAATAGCACCCGACAGTCCTACCATGGATACAGGGGCTCTGGCCGGNACAGGTAAATTTAAAAATAAAATTTTATATTCATATTTCTCAAAAGTCTTAAATAATATTCTAATTACCTTTTTTTATCTTACAGATAGAGTAGATAGGAATGAGAGTACTCCTATTAAACAACCTCAGGAGCAGGAGCCTCGCGAACATCATCATGGAAGAGGTGTTGCCAGCGTCGCCGTGAAGACCGAGGGTGAACCGGACATAACGAGAGGTATGAAATATATCATAGGGAAAAATTCATCAAATCTTTTAAAACAACGTGTCACAATATAAGATTTAAAATTACCAAACCTACGGATGTAGCAAATACTTTGGAATGGGTTAAAAACGGATTTCAGGAACTTATTAGTGTTATTAAAAAATATTACACTACGAGTAATTATCTTGTCGGTATCGACTCGCATTCTGACGCGTTAACTGAAGGATCGGCTGGTATATATTTCAAATTAATAAATCAAATTAATTTTCAAGATATCTCGGGCCTCTGCGAAAAAATTGAACAGAGTAAGCGAATAATTGACATCGCGAAAACGTTAGTAGTTAAGGTGACTTATGTTAAATTACCTCAAGGGTGGGGTGCTCCGAAATATGTTATAAATAGTTTAAGTAAAAAAGGCGTCTTAGTGATAAATAATAGGGATAACCTATGTTTAGCTAGGGCTCTTGTGTATGGTAAAGTTTTGACAGCAAAAAATTGCTTGCGTGCGTGGGCCCGACAATGGGAAAAGATAAAAACAGAAAATGAACAAAAATCAGAGGCTATTAAACTAATGCGAGTGTGTGACATTGATATAAATAATGAGCAAGGGTATGGATATGCAGAGTTTTTTAAATTTCAACTGTATTTTACACAACATAATATACGTATTCGGATATTTGATTACGTCACTTTTAGCGATGAATCTTCTTTAATTTATGATGGTAATGATGACGATGTGGTGGATAGTTGTTCTTTATCAATAAATATAATGTATTACGACAATATTGGTCACTATAATCTAATTAAAAATGTGTTAGGTGTAAAGTCGAGTTATTTTTGCATTACGTGTAACAAATCATTCAGTTGTATAGGAAGTCATGAATGTGTATCTGTCTGTTCTGCATGCAATGGAAACCCTAATTGCATTAACATAAATAACTTAGAAAAAAAAATACTATGCACGGATTGTGGGGCGAAAATTTTATAGTCGAAAATGTTTTGATAATCATAAAGCTGAAGGTTCTCTTTCGAGAACAAAATCTCCTAAACACGTGAAAAAAACCATTTGCAAAACAATAAAAATATGTAATACCTTTGATTGATTTATAAATTTATCGAATGGTAAGCATGATTGCAAAAAAAAATATTCCAGAGAGTGTAAAAGTGTTCATGCGCTTAACACACTATGTAGCATGCAGCCTATTACATAAAATTATAAATTAAATAATAAGAAGAATTGTTTTATATTTTACGATTTTGAAACGACACAAGACACAAAATTACATGATACTGTCGACACGCGAGTACACATACCAATCTTTTGTGTGGTACAAGTACGATGCTATGCATGTATAGACGAAGTAGAAGAAGAAAATGTCCACGCGATTTGCCCTCTCTGTGGTGTTAAACAGCTTATTTTTGAGGGGGAAGAGTGTCTAAAAAATTTTGTCGATTTTGCAGTAAGATTTGAAAGTAAAACTTTCGCTTTATTTATTTGTATAGCATACAACTCTAAGGCTTTTGATGGTCAATTTATATTAAAATATA